GAATACCTCTTTTTAGTTCTAGCTCCCAAGTGCATCTTTTTTGTTCTTATCTTTCTTAGACTTAAATCAGTAATACCTTCTTTCTTAGACTTAAATCAGTCAATACCTTCTTTCTTTGAAGCAACAGATAGATTTTGATTTGTTAAAATGGTAAAGTCAGAGAGCTTAACCATTTTTTTTCTCTAAATTTTTTGGCAGTAATCATCACAAGTTTGAACTTCTTTGTATAATATGACTTTTTAGAACCTTATGCTAAGTAATGGGTTTGATTGTATTTTGAATGCATTTCAGAGTATTTTGGAAATCTGTTTAGAACCTTAAGAATGTTCTGAAACCTTTATTTTGAAACCTTCCAAATTTAAGGAACAATCTCTTTATAATGAAAACATTACATTTTTGGTGATTTAAGAGCTAATGCACTGGTATGTGCAATATCACAAAACCTTATGCGCTGCGGAGGGATTTCGGAGGGGGAAGGTTAAATAGATGATCTAATCATAAAATGACAACTTTTACAGATATTTTAACTCATTAAATCTAAATTTTAGAATTTTAAAAGTAGTTTTAAAAACTTTTTTGAAACACTTTACTAAATCCAATAGTAATAACTAAACCAAACAAATTAGAGTAAACAGAAACTTACTCTGATGGTCTCAAAAACTAACCTCCAACTAATAGCATTGAGCCACTTGGTATATCATGAATAGCATCTACAGGTGATTCATAGATGCGTGTGTATTTAGTAGAATTTGTAGAAAAAGCCTAAATACACATGTATATGAATGTAAATTAAAACTGTTAGTCACACATACAATGAAAAAATATCATAAATAAAAGTCTGTTTTAAATTTAGACATTCTGTGACAATTTTTTTGCAACAAACAACAAAATTTATAATTTTCACTCTTTCATACTTTGAAATATTTATATAAACATTTCATATCCCTTAAAACAAGAAAAAATAAACAAGAAAGGAATATTAAAAGATTTTATTCTATAAGAGTATGTTTTAATCAGAGATTTCTTAGCTAAAAGGTTTTATAGAATTAAATTTTTAATATTATGCTCTCTTCTTTAGTTGATAAGATTTTAAGTTATCCATATTCATTTTTCCAGTACTTGTGTTATTATAAGTTAACTTGTGTTGTTTCTTTTTAATAATTTATCTGAATATCATACCAGAATATCACTCAGTTTCAAAAATTTAAAACAATGAAAAATTTATTTCAGTTACATTAATCAGATTACAAAAAAGTAAAAAATACTACAAAATATTGAACTACTCCTATTACTTGATTAACAATAGAATTATACAATAGGCATAGCCAACAAACAATAGACAAAGCCAATAGGATTTCTTTATTTTATGCTTAATTAAGCTATTAAAGTGATCTTTTTTTCCAAAACTAAAATGAATATGAAGTCTAAAACATTAAAAAAAATTTTGGTCATTTTTAGCATCTTAGATCAAAGTGAGCAAAGGAAGATGAAAAATAATAATAAGATGCTGAAAATATCATGTTTATAATAATGAATAATAAAAAACTACTTCTGTAAGCCAATAGCTTATTAAGAATTGGCAAAAACAAGTGGTTTTTTTGTTCACTGATATTTCATATAAGATTCTTACAAATATTTCTAATTGTGACAAATAGTTTTGTTTATTTATTTAGGAATTCAAAAATAGATTTATTTAGAAAGTCAAAAATTAATTACCAAGTATCCAGATTTTAAGAGTTTTGAATAAATGCTTTTGTTCAATCCTAAAAGTTTTAGACCAAGTGTTGCCATTTTCTGAAGGGTAATTCTTGTTAAAAACCGAAACTATAAAACAACTAAACCACTTTAAAACCGATTATTCATTGTTTTGAACGGATAAATAAATACCGAAATTTTTCACTTTACCAAAAGATCGTTTTTGCCAAATACTAGTGCCAGATTTAGGCATAGGCTGACTAGTCTGCAGCTAATGGCCCCGCAATCTTGGGGGCCAAATTTGATCAAGTTTTATGGCTTTTCTCTAAATATTCTGATAAATATTTTATGATTTCCATTGATTTAGGGCCCCCAACGTTGCATAAATATGAAAATATTCAATTTCTGATCCAAAACTGTAAACTTTATTTTTACATACCGTAAAAACCCCTTATTCCGGATGGTTTAGGACTTAAATTGTCATAACTAGCTCAATATAAAGAATTTTGAAATTGTTTTTTTAAATAAATAAACTTCATAACAAGACAAATCAAACGATATAAAAAATATTATTTTAATCTATCTTTTATTTTATTTTTAAAAAATATTGTTTTTATCCGGAATTAGGTTTTTATGTCCCTAATTCCGGATGTGTATAAAATACAGAAAAACACATACACAAATAATACTAACATTAAAATAATTATTTTAACCCATTAAACAAATGAAATCGTTTAATAAAAAAAGAATATATATTATTTTATACACATTCGTTACAAATAAATTCCATGGTTGGACGATAATCAAATCCACATTCAATGCATGACCAATTTGAACACTGCTCGCACGCAAGTCATTGGTTATCTAAGTTATTTGTCCTATTAATTTCGCAAGAATAACATAGAAAATCACAGAAAATCGTCTTTTTTTGTTCTCTAGTAAATTTCTTTGCAGCTTGTTCATCTAATTTTTGTTTTTTTGATGCTTGTTCAGCTTCATCGTAAGCTATGGCATCCGCCGAAGTCATATTATAATTAGCTGGTCGCTTTATTCTCTCACTTTTTTGAACTCTTTTATTTAGTTGGTGTCGATTGATCTCGAAGCATATTTAACACTGATTTGTTTATATCTTTGCCCACTTGTTGAACAGCATTATTCAAAGTACCAAAGCTTTTAAGCAAAAATTCACGATTTGACATTCTTGACGGTGTGTTAGGTGTATTGGTAGCATTTCCCATAACTAATGGACTAGATACTGTTGAAGAATCAAATAAATTTTCAATATTGTTGTTTTCGACAGCTTGAAACACAGCACCAATGGAAGTTTTTTGAGAAGTAATTTGTGAACGATCGAGTGGAAATATACCAGTATTTTTGAAACCACTCCGTGCATTTTCAAATTTAAACCCATTATTTTGGATGAGATCCTTAAATATGGCTGGAAAATGTCAATTAGTCAGGCTTTGAAAGTGATTTTTAGTCAATAAACTTTCGACAATTCTCTTCCATGCGCTTTTTACTGTTTTAAAAACGCCAACATCTAGTGGGTGTAAAAAATAACTGGTATGAGCCGGCAAACGCCAAAGTGAAATATAATTTTCTAAAGCTTTTTTTTTCAACTCTAAGCTCAGATGTGAAGCATGGTCATCAAGTATTAAAACTTTAAATCCTGAAAGTTTGTTTGCATGAGGCAAAAAAACTGTTTCAAACCACGACAAAAAATGTTCGGATTCCATCCAGCCTGAACTACAACTGTTAAAATAAACATTCTGGGCACCGCCTTTGCACCAGTCTTTCATAACATGTTTGCCTTTATAAATTATTTGATAAGGTAAATAATTACCGAATGCGTCACAACAAGTCAAGATTGTCGTCATTTTTTTTTCTTTCGATGGTGCTAGCTTTTTAGGGTTTTTTGTTCATTTTCTACAAATAACTTTGACTTTGCCTTGATCAAATTGCAAACCAGACTCATCACAGTTAAATATTTGAAACGGCTTATCGTCTAAATTATGTTCATTATATGCTACTGCTAATTGCTCAAACCAATTTTCAATTATAGCTGGTTGTGTGGCCACAGCTCTAATAGTTTGCATACCGCTTACTTTTCTTGGGCAAATTTCTTTACGATATTTATTCATGAAACCGGAGTACCATTTTCTAGTCGGTTTGCCATCTTTAAATAGACTACGTTGTTTTGATTCTTTTAAATAGTTTTCAACAACAATTAACACGTCTTTTTTATTCAAGCCGAAGCCTATATCACTCATAAATTTTAATAAATCAACAATAATAGCTTTAGTGATGTTGCTCATCTTTCTTGCCGCTCCTCGATTATTAGATGATTCTTTTGTTCTGTCAAAAAGTGTAGATTTTGCCACATTATAACACTTAGCAGCTTGTACGTATGACATTTTTTTTCAGTAATAGCTTGAATAGCTAGCTGGATTCGGTTCTCTTGCTCTTCTATTTGTTTAAAATTATCCAAATTCTTTAATACAGTAATACAATTAACACAAATGCGTTAACTTTATGGATGCTAAAAAAAATAGCTGTACCTGGATTAGTGTCAATTATTTTTTCCCTTGTGGTTATTTTATTTTTTATTACATTAATAAACATAATATATTATATTATGTGCATGAAAGTGATAAAAAATAAAATAGCCAATTGTAATTAACTGTATCCGGGACTCAAAAGTGTATTTGTTTATTGCTGCTGGCTAATTTGTTTATTATTTTTTTTAGGTACAAAAAAATTAAAATTACCGGAATTAGGTGTCTTTTTTTTTTGGCTGGTAGCAAATTTGTTTTTCATTTTTTTCAATTATTTCAAAAGATAGGGGAAAGGCGCCTATGATGGCATACTTAACTTTGAAGATTCATTATAAATATTCTAAAGACCAAAAATAAAAATTTTGATATAATTACATTCCTAGTAACATGTAGAACAATAATAACCCTCAAAATTTTTATCAGTTTTACTTTTTTAAAAGTTATTTCAACTTTTAAAAAAGTACGAGTATGCCATCATAAGCAACTAACTGCTCCTATGATGGCATACCTTTAATAAATTACATAAACAGAGCGTATTTTTTGTTTTTTTACCAGTAATAATACAAGTATATTTTTCAAAAATTTATAAACAAAGTTCACATATAAATTTTCTTCGTTTTTTATCTACGCCTGCGCATAAACAATAACACCAAGAATTGCATTTTTGGCAGCAAATCCAAGGTTCTTTGGAATAAGACTGTGATTAAAGTTCTTCACAAAACAAACAAGCTGTATCAGATACAAAATCAATTTTATTGAGTCTTGTATTATTTGCATCAGTCAATCTTTTTTTTCAAGTAACATTTTTATTTTATTTTTTCTAACAGTTTTTTCTTTTTCAACTATATTCGTTCGTTTTTCTTTTTCCTTATTATCATTTTCTATTGCTTTATCTTTTAATTCTTGGATGTTTGGAGTAGAATTCAGATGGCCAGTTTTCCCACGTTTTCTTGTGCGCTTAAATTCAGTTTTAGAAGTTGCTAAAGGCAAGGGAGACAACTTTTGTATACCATATTTCAGTTCTTGTCTTGACACAGAAGTTTCAACGCTGCCAGACACATCTGATGGAGGAGAGCTTATATCTAAATGTGTTGATTTCTAAGGTTCTTGTATTTTATCTGATGCAGGAGAGCTTACTTCTGTATGTGCTGAACTCTCAAGTTCTTGCGTTTTTCCTAATGTGGAAGAACTTATTTTGAAATATGTTGATTTCTCAAGTTCTTGTGTTAAATCTAATGTTGGTGAGCTTATTTCAAAATGAGTTGATTTCTCAAATTCTTGCGTTAAATCTAATGCGGAAGAACTTATTTCAAAATGTAATGCTTTCTGTGTTTTTTCATTGCTCTTAAATATATCAACTTGTTCTGTTGTTAATGAAGGTGCAAACATCCAGTCTTCAAAAATATTGGGATTGAAAGGATATATTCCAGTTTTAGCAAAAGCATGCACAGCATTTGCTAAAGTTGCACTTTTTAAATATGCATTGTTTAAAAGTCCAGGAACCTGGAAATGTGTCACAACTCTACCGGGATGTTGCTTTAGCTATGTCTGAATCTCTTGATCATAATATTTCTGTAATGGACCAAAAAATCCAACATCAAGTGGTTGGACGCGGTGTGTACACTGTGCTGGAATACAAAATATAACAACACCATTTTCTTTTGCATATTCCAAAACTGCCAAGCTTTTATGAGTAATATGGCAATCTAATGAAAGTAGTTTTTTGCTAGTTTTTGATGCACTAGAGTGGTCCACAAAATGTTCAAGTCATTTTAAAGAAAATCACACTAGTCATCGACCCTTTTTCCTGGCAAAATGCTTTACTGCCTAATGGAGCGCTATCCATTAACTCATTTTTTAATCTTTTTCTAAGAAATATGAATATTGGTGGTACAAATGTTCCTATTGCATTCATACAGTCAATTGCCGACCACGTTCAGCACTACCGAGTGCCCCTATTTGTTTTCTTTCTTTAGTAGCTAATATTTTCTGTGGTTTTTTCTGCACAGTACTTAACCCTGATTCGTCAACATTTTATATATTTTTAGGAAAAAATGTGTACTGTTCCATAATCATTGATAATGCGGTAAAATAGCAGTTGATATTTTTTTTATTAAATGCCTGTGCTCTAGCAAATGACGTATTTTCTAGTGTTCTCAGTGAGATGTTAAGATTACGTTGTAAATATCAAGTCAACCATTTTTTACCTGCCATTCTAAAACACTTATTAAAATTATGCTTTATTTGATTTTTTTCTGCTATTTTAAACACCAGTTGACGTAGATCTTTTGTTGTAAGACCAAAAAACCTTGTCTCCATATCAATTATATGCATATTTAATTCTTCTTCAATGGAATGACTTAAAATTTTTCTATGACCTCCCAAACCTGTTTTCTTAGAACCTTGGTTTTCTTTATATCTTCAACGTAACGTTGTGGCTGGGACATTAAAAGTTTTAGCAGCTAATAACTATCCTATTTCTTTTTCCTTAATACTTCTTAAAGCATTTTCCATTGCTATTTCTCCCCACTGTTGTCTTTTCGTTTTATTAACAGCCATTATACTTAATGAAAAAAATGTACTACAGAAAATTATGAACATTTTGATACCTATTTATATCCATTCATAAATATGTACATATATATATATATATATATATATATATATATATATATATATATATATATATATATATATATATATATATATATATATATATATATATAGGGCCGCCAAGAGGGGGGGGGCAATTGAAGTAGTTTGCCCCGGGCATCACAGTCTATGGGGCATCACATGCCTTAAAAAAAAATTATTGAAATGATAAAAATTTTAGCTGATAACGTGTTTAAAGATTAAGCAATTTTTGTGTATTAATTTCTTTCTCCTTTTAAACTTTGTTTGCATTTAAAATAGGATAATTATTACTTTACAAGGTTTTCATTATCCATTTGAACGCACGCGTTTTCATTGGCCTTTTGTTCGCATGATAGAATAAAAAGCGTTAAAATTTTTTTTTTCTTATTTAACGTTTGTAAAAGCCTAACTTCTAATAGTTTAACTTATTCTTGCTTAAACCTTGCGTCTCTGTGGATGCTTTTGTGCCTATGTATGTTTTTGACTCGCCTGCATTTTGTTCCGACTATATTTTGAAAAGAAACTTATCTTCAGTGGATATTTTAATTGTAAGTACTGACTTTTTCTCTGCAATTAATAACACCAAAGTATTATAAAGTTTTTAATTTTTAAAATT